ACCAATGGCGGTCCTGCCAGGTATTCGCAGTAGGTGTCAACGGCCTCTGACAGCTGCGTAGCATGTTACGCACCAAAACTACCTCGTAAATGTTCAAATGGTTGCTAAATTCGAAATTAGCACCAAAAAGTAGAATAGAAACAAGTAATACTCGCGAGAAGTGAAACGAGGTCATCAAAAGTCAATGACCTGACCTCTGGGTCACCTTGACAGCTGACACCCACCATAATGCATGGGACCAGCATCATATCACATGTTTGTACGCGTGAAAGTTGAAACCACGAAAGGACTGCAAGCGCGCGGCTAATGCGAGCCGACATACGCCGAATCGCAATGCCGGCCAAACATGGTCTAGATAAATAGATCACAGGTCAAAGGTCATTTGGGTCAGGGTAATGAAATCTTTAGAGTAGGTGTAGAATTGATTACCTGAGGGCACTGAAAGTTTCGTCGCAATCGGCCACTGTTTACGCCAATTATTTGCGAAAAACCGAGGGGACCCATTGGACCGCCCCCTCGCCCACGTCGCATCGTGGCTCAGGAGCCGAGTTCAGACGAGGGGTGTTCAGACGGCCCCCCCCCCCCTCCCCAGGCCCGGCTCGGTTGGCGCCGAGCACCGGGCCGGCCCGGCGAGGGCTAGAAACTAGAACTTGTCCTTTTGTATGATTTCCGTCAGCAGTGTTTTAGTCAGACATAAAATGTCAATCTGTTTTGATTCCTGGAAAGCGTTGATTGGTTCCAATTTCGCAGTCATCGACCATATTATGTTCCGATGGCAGATGATCATTTTGGGACGGACCAGAACCCCGGCCATCCGCGTCTGCTCCGTTGACAGCCGTGTTGGACGGCTCAAAGTCCTGCTGTGGGCGGACGGTCATAGTGGACGTTCTACACGGCGGTAGGTCCCCAGCGTCCGGAGCGGTCAGCTGGTCACCCCTCGCTCTCCCTTGGCACGGCGGGTGGGCCGGCGCGCCGACCCACGCGCACCCGCGTCCCTGTCGCCTCGGAAGTGCCCGGAATGTTGACTTTAGCCGCCGGCGGCGTCCCCTTGACCGTTGGGCCTCCCTCCAGCGGCTCCGGTTGTCATGGTTACTGGTGGGGAGACGACGGATTCTAGGAGCTACTCCGCGCGGTACCATGCGTAGGAAATAAATTAGTTTGAATAAAATTGTGCAGAACTTGCGGTAGAAATGTAGAAAAAAAAGCGCATAGGTATCTATAATCACCTCCCTCAAAAATAATTATTATGTTGCTAAAATTAAGTTCTTAACATGATATGGAAACTTCGGTTGGTATCATTAGGTACATAGGTCTAAGTTGAAGTGGCAGGCACCTTAATTGTATTCGACACATGTCTCCTCTCAATGAATTTGCTTAAACACTCACCTGGTTTCCTGGACAACAATGAGCATGAGCCTCTCCTGAAGCAAATCCAGATCCAGCAACCCGCGTGTCACTAGCAGTCAAAATATTATGATTTTTCTGTGCACCAATTGATGATGCCTCTTCGAATTCACGCCATAAAACTGCAGACCTTCCATGGTTTCGCAAGATCTGGAAGGCCGCACTTTATTTTCGCTCGTTGCACAGTCATACTTCAACTTTGGCGTCCACTCCTTGCACTTATTTGCACATAGCCAACGTCTCACTCTCAAATGTTCCACGACACATATACGCAACACCAAAGAGAAAGTCAGGGAAGACGCTAAAGGATCAGACGGTGACCGCCTGTAGTTTCAAACCCTTCCAAACAGCGACGCCAGACTGGCCTCAGTCCGCCAATCAGACGCTGGCTACCTCGCTGTCGGCGGCTCCCATTGGCCGCTCCCCCTTGGCTCTCGGTGGCTACCAGGGTGGCTACCCCGTGGCCGGAAGGTTGGGGCAATGCATTTTCCCAGCTCTATTTCTCTGTTACTTGCTCGAAGATTGCCTTAAAAAGAGCAACGAAACGAATGACAAATCCCTGTTTTAATAATTTTTTGGATGCAAAGTCGTTTATAAATGCAAAAATATAGACTCCGAATTTACCACAAGCTGATCGTATGATGAACAGATTTTGGTTTCGCATATCTACATCCAAGTACTTGTACTTCCTTGCTATCTACATGTGTAAATGTTCGTGGCAGGAAAGTTGCCGAGCGTGCTACCTGAGACCGGCGCTATCTCAGGTAGCACACGACATCACTTATCACTAAATGTGTTGACTGTGCACCTTTCTTTTGAAGATATGAACAAAATACTTGCTTTTTTACAGAGATAAGGAAATAAATGTTTGCTCTATATTCCAGCAAGATTTGTTGCTCTTTTCTGAAATGGCTTTGCCTTGAGTGGTTACCTGGCTTGTCAGTGAGAGACTTGAATTGGTTACCCACGGGTGTGGACGAGTTGGCGACTTTTATGACCTCTGCTACCACATTTAAGAGATCTATACGCACCGTTCGGGTCCTCATTCCTCCACACACGACCCTCACGCCTCCTTAACGTTCTATCCTATTCTCTGCACCAAGGCTATTTCATATTCCACACTATGGTGTTCCGACTTCCGAGTAGGTACTTGCCGTCCACAGCTGTAGGCTTTCCTCATATACCATGGACCCGGTGCAGTCTCCGGAAGCTCATTATACCGACACTCGACAGACCACCCCTCGGCTTTGTACGCCTGGCCTCGGGGCGGCGCTGCCACAGCCACTCTGTATATACTTGTCAGCCGACTATTCACAGCAGGCCCCCCAGTGACGTCAGCAGCCGGCGGCCGTGACGTCATCGAGGTGTTTGCGCCGGCTGACGGTGTATGGGTGGGAAAGGTCGCATGTTGATTGTTGGGGTATGGGTGGAGGGCGATCCATCAGACAGAGAGAGGATGACGAAAGTTGCAAATGTGCGTCTATCATAGAATGAGAGCAGTGCACACTGACACGGTACCCTTTATCACATAGGCATACGTGCATAATTTGACGACCTATATGAATGCATATTTTCCAAAATCGATATTTTATCTAGTATCTAAGCTGGTATCATATCAGTAAGCAAGTCTTTACTGTACCAAAAATGTTAACAGGAGCCAAAATAATTTGCAACGAAACTAGATACGCAGCGAGTGATATACGCAAGCATACGAACTGATATACGACACCATTTATCGAGGAGGACTTGTAAGTGGGCCACTGCAGAAATATACCGGCTCTGTTTGAAATGCTCCAGTTCCGTTTGCCCCTTTTGCCATCAGTGGGCCTGGGCGGCCTGGCTATGTGTGGCGGGGCACCGAAAATAGCCGAGACCCCCGGCGCCATCGTGTACATCCGGTCGTTGTAAGGAATGTGTGTGTACTTGTATCGACCGAACTGAGGTGAACAATGGAGGAACTCGCAGCTCGCGATAATGTACAGAAAACACATAACACGTGACCGGGTGTCAGTAACCTTTCCGAAATAGACACGGCTTACCTTAACAGACCAGAATAGGACCAACAGACCGGAATGATAGATCTACCAATAAGCCGGAACTACGGACGTGCACCAGACCTCAACCCTTTTTCACATGCTTACATACATACTTTTATACATGCATGAAACATTCAATCATGCCAGTAATTGCGTGTGCATTTTCCATTCGAAAATACATGCAGATTGTTTTGGATGCCAGTCATTCTCAGCATGCGGCGACATAGACCCAATGTTCAAATGCTGATATCATTGGTAGAGCTCGAGCCATACCAGGCCTATACAAAGCGACACCCATCCGGAGCTATGAACCACGGGATCAAATGTGAAACCAACTGCTGCCGTATGAAGGTAGATTTAAACACGAACATCATAATGCGGGATGCACGCTGCACGCAGCATATAGTGTTAGTTATTTAAATATTCGTTCCATATGAGCACTCTTAACTTTCTTTCCCATCTATTTCAATGCTGGTCTCAATATAATCATGACTTTACTTGATTGAATAAAAGCATTGATTGAAAAGTTATGTGCGCTGCTGGCGTAAAGACGCATGGTAACCCGAATGGATTATAGACCTTTGCAGTAAATCGGGCCGCATTATCAGAACCGCAGCATAAAACAAAACGGTGATGACGCATTCAGCATTCTTCTCACCTAGGCGAAGCTACTTGCGTTTCACCGGAAAGACATTAATGAAAATTGCATCGCCAATTTAGCGCTTCTTCGGTGGCTTTGTGCGTCCATTAGTTCTAAACACCCCCGCTGAGCATCCGCTCAGTGTAGCTAAACATATAACACACTCGAATTACATAACTTTGCTATCACTAAGCAGTGTCAGTCACTCAATATGCACCACAGATATAGGTATTTCCCAAACTAATCCAATCACCCTCGCCGCTTTTGAGAGCGTCCCGTCGCCTCGTCAGTCTCCTGGACTGCCGACTCAGACCTAGACTCAGACTGCTGGTCTGCTCCTGCCGCCGTTCCTGGGCCGCCCAGCTGGGCCGGTCCTGCCGCCGGCCTAGGCCACCTGGTCCTGGTCGGCCGTGGACGGCGGTCGGCCGGCCACAATCGATAGCTGCACCTGCCGCCGCGGCTGCCGATGAATGGGCTCACGGGCCGGTCCGCACACAGCCCCGACGGCCGAACACAGGGCTGCCGCCGCGCCGCCGCTGCTCCCTAATGAGTGTTTGGAGCGGCTCGGGAGCGGCGGCGGGGCGGCGCTGCACACGAGGTGCGGGGTCAGCGGTGACGGCTCGGGCTGAGTGACGAGCTGACGGGGCGCCATACCACTCGGCGATCAGAGGGATTTGTATTCACTCAACGGGGGGGGGGGGTATACAACCCAAGGTCTTTAGCAATATAGCTTTGGGCACAACTAATACGTAATAAACGTTATACCCATAACCCAACTGACTTTTGAATGCTATGGCTATAAGCAGCGCAAGTACAATTTTGAGCTCGATATATCCGACCAAAGCCAGCAGTAACTATATGTGATCGTTGTTTTATTCAAAGATCTTCATCTGAAGTTCAAACTCTCGGCTTAAAACTAAAAACCACACCCGCTCGCTGTTCACAATCCACTTTTCACCGTCGTCGCTCTGTGTTTCCAGTTACGCCAATTTGATTTCGATGGCGATCCAGAGCAGCGTCAAGCAGAAGATGACGTTGGCCGAGATCTACGAGTGGATCACCGAGAACTTCCCCTACTACCGAGACATCGTCTCTGGCTGGAAGGTAAGACGTCAGCGTCATCATTTCAATGCTACAGTCATTATACAACAGCTGCATCAGTGTGACTAGTGTGAGCGGAGCGAACGGCCATACAAATCTCATGGATAGAAGTCTGTCGAAAAAATGGACCGTCAGTGTCCTTAAAATGACAATTGTCAAAAGCATCCACCTTCGACGTTTTAACCACGCAGGCGACGACTCACTCATGGTTATCAGGAACAGTTCATATTTAAACGCTACGAAATCCTTAAATTGAAAAGCAGATAAGAAATGATGCAAATAACTAAGCATGTCTGTCTTAGCTACCCACGTCACCGATAATAGTTGAAATGATTGTGAGTGTGTCCAAGCACTCAACGCCCAGTTCTGGTCAGAGCAGGCCATGCAAGCAATCTTGGGCCACGCAGCAAGATCGTATGCGAACTTCACTCACCTCACCACACCACTATGCTTCATTCAGCACAGCTCCTATATCGTTTAAAATGAGTCATCTGTATGAGGCGCTGGCCGGCCACCAGTCAGTGAAGTTCCATTCGCATGTAACAGCCGCAATGCAAACGGCAAGCATTTTAAGGTTCCACAAAACGTAATTGATATGCTGCGGTGCTTTGACAGTATTTCTCTTTTCTTTTCCGATTTAAAGTCCACCTCTAAACACGTCTCCCAGTGAAGCTGCGCTGAGCGTTTCCTTATGTAGTGCGGTACAGTATAGCTACAGGCGCAAACAGTTAACGCCATCTATTGGCAGCGGCCGTAAGCTTCTACGGCCGCTTGCATGCCTTTAATTTCTCTATCAACTGGTTCTTGTAAAAGCTTGCTTCAGGCGGGTAAGACAGTAAATACGTAGCGTATAGGTTTTTATACACCAGGTGAATCGTCACAGACGCTGGCTTTGTAGCTTAATGTTAAAACAAAAAGGGACTTCCGACTAACGAATGCACTGAAAGGTTTCGTATGCAAAATAGCATAAGAAGTAAGGGCCCGCCGCCTTTCCACAGATGAAGAAAGCTTCCTAGCAGCGCAATAAAACTGTTTGGCTGTGATCCTCATCAGTGGGAAGTTTTTTTTTGCACCCTATTGGCCAACCGAGTCGATTAATATCATTTCTGCGTTTTTTATGAGTTGATATCATCTTATAGGTTTACGAAAATTGAAGCCAACCACCATTGCTTAGCCATGCTTGGTAGCTTGGTAGTATAAAAGAGAAATGGACAGAACAGTTGCTGCGGGAAGAAAATCGCTGAGTCTTTAAGCTGATTGCGTCTCTCAGCGGACATCATCTGCGGCATCACCAGCCCACCAGTTTCCCGTCCAGCCTTGTACTGGACAGAAAACTGGTGACACACCCGAGACGACCAAAAGTCCGACCTCTAACCATTCTCCATCCTGCTGGTATAATTCCACCGCCCCGCAAACGGTGACTGCTGGCCCTGTACCACCTACGACCCGCCCTTCTGACCGTGTCCATCAAACGCCCCCTCCCTCACCCTCTGAGCAGGGGTAATGTGACCTCACCAATAATTCATTCCACGAGGAAACGAGCGCCGGCGGCCTCCCGTAATGACATACGTGGCATTCATGTATTAATACAAGGAACGGATAAGACATGTATGGACATTTGGGCGGCGCAAAAACGGAGATCGACAGTTTTTTTTTGCTGTCGGAGATATGACGTCACCTGGCCGTCCCCAGTCGTCAGAATATTCACAATATTGATCGTAAGTGTTCTCGACAATAATTTACCTAGATGTTGGAACCCACGGTAGGTATTGATCGTGAATAATGTTTTGACGTAACTTCACGCTATTTTGGAACTAAAACGAATTAGAGACAGAAACAGCAGTGGTGTTTAGCTATCGAGCAAGCACATACTGCTCAGTGCACATGCAGCAGTAGTTTCGTGGCACATCAGACTTCCTTGCAAGCTATATATGGAGAGCTACTGGCTGGTACTCATATACATTCGAACTTGCCGACCGGAAGGGCTTGTAACTATCCAGAGCCAGAGATTAAGCGGTTAGGGGAGAGTGGGGCTAGTTGTTACAAGGGTAAGTTGTTACAAAGGAAATATCTTTAAAAATACTCTTGATATGGCGCCAATATTTACGCTAACAGAAAGGTTACGCACATTTTACATGTCACTGCAGGCTCAGACCTGGTGGAACGCCATGTCGCCCTGTAGGCGCACTGGGGTAAGTTGTGACAGCAAAAGTATTTTTTGCTGGCCAACACTTTGGGTCGTTTTTTGTCAAGGTTATTTGTGTAAGAATGTTGAATGTATGTTCACAAAATTAAGCGATGATTTCTTTTGTAAGATCACCAAGTAAAACGCACTAGCCTCTTCATGTTAACAAACATTTGAGTTCAGTCTTGTGAAAGTCGGCCGCCGCAGGGCCGGGGCATGTTTAAAGATGGCTACCCAAGACTGCTTATAGCGTGCTCCATTTCACCTGGGCGTAAATTTCGTGCAGAAAATCAAACTCCGGTCAGTATGGCAATGCATGGTGCCCTTGGCGTCGCTGTAAAGGCAAATCAGAGATTGAGCCATGTTTGATGAGCCTTTTTATGCGTGTGGAGTACAGTAATGGTTTATGCTTTATTGTTCTTGCCTTTCAATGAGAAAGGAAAGCATGTTTAGTATTATCCATTAGGGAGGCTTACGATCGATTCCGATAGGACGGCCAATGACCGTTATAATGATGAAGAAACTACGAAAAAAGAAGTGTAACATGTTACCCCATATCGTGTATCAAGTTGCCCCACAATTTTTCAACTTACCCCAAAAATCTTGCTTTGGTTTTCTGAATTTCACATAAAAGTGAATAGTCGTAAAGAAGTGAAAGTTTGCATGTGCTTTCCAAATTGATTCAGCTAGCATGTGACCAAAATTGGTGCAATTTCATTGAATAGCTTGGCCACTAAGTGCAGAAGACCAAAAAGTGTAACGCATAGCCCCAGTCTCCCCTATCATTGGATTTGGCTGATACTCTCACTAGTCCCTTGGTTAGCAAAAATAGCAACGCATCAAATCTGCACAGACCCGCCTACATGCTATTTTGGCTCTCATATTTATGTGTATGTTTTCGTGACAAAATCTCCAGAAGGTTGGCACAGCGGACCGGATGCTGGTTTCATATGACGCCTGAGTGTAGTATCTTATCGGTTGGTTACTATTCAGGGTAAGTTTCTCTCGACGACAGTCATTTCATTCAGAGCGACTGAACAGGTGAAACCATGCATTGAATATCTAAACCTTCAGCAAATAGGTTCAGCATGACTTCAGCATGTAGTGAGAGCGAGAGCAAAACGGCGCATTAATTAGCAGCAGCTCACGTTACATATGAGCGTGAGCGTTAAATATACCTTCTCTACTTTCCCGGCTCATTTTCCATCAGTTTTTCACCGCTGAACGCCCGCTCGTCGTCTCGTCTGTCAGCTTCCGTCTTGACCGACCCCGTGTTACTAACACCCATCCTCCTCACACCACCGCTCTACCTACTCTCCTGTAGGTAACACACGGGTCTCCTTACACGGTCCCTGCGTCCCTCCACCGTCGGACTCCGTCAGGAGCGGTGTTACCACCGGCGGCGGACGGCGGCAGCGAGCCGTGCAGCCGGTATTGATTAATCCCATATACCTGCCGACAGCGGCGCCGGAGGCTCCCGGTGCTGCCAATGCCGCCGGCCGACGGGTAAAAACCGCCGCCGCTGAGCGGTCATTAGTGCCGCCCGTCAATGGACGCCGCGCCGGTCAGAGGGCCGCCGGAAACGGGGAGGGGGTGGGGGTAGGTCAAGGTCAGCACAGGTCGCTCAGGGTCAGCCGGGTCAGCCGGGTCAGCGAGAGGCCTGGTTGGAGGCTTGAGATTACCGAAATCGGAGTCAGGCAAGCTATTATACATATTTAATGTAATGTTCTGATTACTGAGACAGACTAGGTTGTAAGTGGGGACACCGTTGACGCACTTTTCGAACCGTTACAGCGACTGTAGTGATGGTATCTAAAGAAACTAAACGGAACGGAACGGAAACGGAAACTAACTTACCAGCTCCTTAGTTGGTATACGAAGCGAAACTCTCGTTAACATTGCAGCAGCTCGCCCCAGATGAGAGTTGAGACCAATGCAGAGTTCTGTCCCCGAGGCCTTTGACCTTACTGGCTGCTGGCAGCCAAGCGATGCGTGAATTCCCTCGTCGAATGACCACAACAGATGGATAGCGCAGGTCGATTGAAGCCGCAGCTCCTTCCCGGAAGCGGAGCGCGGGGTTTCCGGGCCGGTACGACTGGCAGTTCGAACCCCGCCGCGTGTTGTGCTGGCAGCGAATAACTAATTAACCGTCACGCGGAGGCTTCCTGAAAAACGCAGAACTTCCTGATTTCCGCTGGACCAGTAGAAGATCGACCCTAAGTCCTGCTTAGTCATCAGTCTCATTAATTATAGTACGGCAGCTGAATGAAAGATGATAAATGCTTCAAGGTTGAACGGGCAATGAATGGGGCACTGTAATCTTTTCAGCAAAGCAAAACGACACGCTTGGCAAGCTTGAAGCTACTTAATCAAATAATTCTATTGAAAAGGAGCAATGTGCCTGAACGCATTCTTCAACGTCACGGCGGATTTCCGAGCTGCAGCCGCAGTCCGCCGGTGGCACAGGACACAATGAACAGGACACAATGCGCAGCACATGCCGATCCCACATACATCACTGTAGCACTGGTGGCCGTTTGACATTTGCATTACTGACGGTGGAGAACGGGCGCTGCGAGCACATTAACCGAATGGGGCGCAGACGGCACTGCAGAACGCCATTCGGACATTAGCCAGGGCAAATATAGAATATACTGGTCTGCAGAACGCACCAACGACCGAGCCACAGCCATGATGGCACGTGATAAAAATGTAATTACCTGCGGTACGCATTCTGGAGCGAGGCCGCCATTTGCCGTCTGCAGCGCTGGACGGAGCGCTAAAATAGAGCGGTCTAATTTGCTGCGTAAATCCAGCCTACACGTTAGTCACGCACATTCTTGCCGAACAATTTTTACCAGAAAGTTCCACTTGGCCCTGGATGAGCGACTAAAGCCTGCTTCATTTAGCAGTCAAATTGATGCCGACCAAGCCTTCACTGATGTAACCGACCTTTTCAATGTTATTATTTATGTACACGGCATGACCATTGACCAACATATTCGTTTTTTTCTGTTTCAGAATTCCGTCCGTCACAATTTGTCGCTCAATAAGTGTTTTGTGAAGGTGGCTCGCACCAAGGATGACCCGGGCAAGGGCAGCTACTGGGCCATCGACCCCACGCACAACCCTGACGAGGCCGGCTCCTCCAAGAAGCGGAAACACGCCGGCACCAGGGTCAGTAGGCAGGTGCCGCAACTGGATTCGTGGAGGACATATCGTCCATGCCATGTCACGTCATCATTCATTGACAGCATGACGTTTCTTGAAGCTGAGTTTTGCAGTGACCATAGACGGTGCAGATAACGAGGAATGAGTTTAACCCGTGCCGGGAAAATTACTGTTTCATTCATTTCGTAATTTCACCAGAGGCCGAATTAGGGCTAAAAAAGCTAACTACAATGAAATTGAGGAAAACCAGTTAATAAGCAAGAAAGAATCACTTTTTATGGATTTCTCCACGGGAACGTATAGCATAATAATCAGTGACCACTATGGTCATGGACTCATCTTTGACCTAGTAATGCAAATCACGTATACACTACTGCTTTTACCAGGACCACGCCCCCGCAAATGACGAACGTCCTAACCGTTGTTTTTCCTCTCTGCAGTACTCGCCGTACCCCCCGCCGCCGCCGCAGAAGCGCGTGCCCCCACCGCCGGTGCCCGCCTCCCTGGCGGGCGCCCATCCGGTGTCGGCGGCGCCCCCGGTGCGGGGCGCGGCGCCGCTGCCCGTGTCGGTGGCGCTACCCGTCTCCCTGGCCGACCCCCTGTCGGTACCGGTGCCCGTCTCTGCCGACGCGGTGGGAGCGGTGGGATACGCGCCGGCGCCGGCCGGGCAGGAGCACAGCCAGGCGGACCCTCTGTGGGTGGTGGGCCAGTCGTGGCACCAGGAGCCGGCGGCGGTAGCGGCCGCGGCGCCCGTCGCCGCCGAGACGGACATGACAGGTGGGTTGAACGGACCGGCGCAGGTAAATGAAATGGTAGAAGAGAAAGCCAGCAATCTGGAGGGATAGCACTTTGCGACTTCTTTCAATATTAAATACGAGTAAATTGTTCGTAAAGCGTCTTCGTCGTAGCTACCGTTCAATGTTCTTTCAACCGGCTGGCAGAAAACTGATACGTGTCTTAATCGCGCGCCGGCCCATGGCCTCTCCTGCCCTCTGACCAGCCTATAACCGCGTTCCTCTCGGCAGCTCCGTGTCTGGCCATCAGCGCCAGCGACATCAACGCCATGGAGTCGCTGCAGTCGCTGCTGTCGCCGGCTGACCTGGCGCAGGTGATCGCGCACAACGCCCAGGAGTTCCCAGACAGCCTGGCCGCCCTGCTGGCGCCCTACACCGTGCAGAGCACACAGCACGCCAGCGCCTTCCAGGTGAGACCGCCCGCCGGGCGCGATTGCGGGGTGGATAAATGGTGGGACCGCAAGCCGTGAGAAGCAGAGAAAATGCGAGCATCAGACGGAAGACTTGTGTGTTGGTTGAGAGCGATGGCCCCGATCCCGCTTTGTGCCGCCGTCGCCTCAGCAGCGTCCCCTGCGTTGGCAGACGTACCAGCCGGAGCAGACAGCGCCCGGGCCGAGCCCGCTGCCGTACGAGGGCACCACCGTCGCCACCACCACCGCCGTGCCGCCGACCGCCACCGCCACGGCCGTCACCGCCGCCCCCACCGCCGGCACCGACTCAGGGCCCGGCCCCCAGCTGGCCGCGCAGGCCGCCGATCTCAACCTGGGCTCCAGCTTCCTCTCTTCGTCTCTGTCCCTCCGCAACCACGGCTCCGGCGCCACGGTGACCATCAACGAGGTACCGGATGAGGGGGCGCCGAGCGGGCTCAAGATCGAGCGCGAGGAGCTGCAGAGCCTGACCACACTCAGCCCACACGTCAGCAGCTCCACGGCGCTGCAGCCGGCCGAGCTGGCCGACGACTTTGACTGCGAGTACGACTGGGACTCGCTGCTCTGAGACCCGACTCACTGCTCTGAGATAAGACAGTCACTGGGACTCACTGCTCTCAGGGGTGGACAATGGACAGTCACTGAGACTCGCAGAAAGCAGACCGAATGGCTCGGACTCGGTCAGTGCGGATACAGTCACTGAGATTTGCTGCTTTGAGCGGACAGTCACTGGGACTCGCTGCTTTGAGGCGGACAGTTACTGGGACTGGCTGCGCTGAGAAGTGACAGAGTCACTAATACTCGCAGCTAGCCTGAGAGCGGACCGAGTGACAGACTGGGAAGTGCCTCAGGCCGACGGACAGACAGACGGGTAGACGGATGGAAAGACGAACACACGGACGAACAGACGACGAAACGACAAACAGACGGAGAACGGAGCGACACCACCTGCATCTGGCTGAAAACTCTGCTGATTGAATCTTAATCTGGAATGGCGGTAAACGTTTTTGAAAACCAGAATTAGCAGACCAGTGGTTCAGTTTGGCCAAGGCGGCGGGTTTCTCTCGTTGAGCGCCGGCGATGCATGGTCTTACCGCGTTCGCGTATGGCGTCGCGTGTAGGCGAGACCACTAGAGACAAATGATTATAGTGCCATGCCACGGCCCGACGTAATTGCTGGAGGTTACGCACAACTCACCTGTGTGCCATTCGTCATTGCACCCTCTGGCCTATAGATAGCTCATTTCTGTGCTATCCTGTCTTTCCAGCCACACGAGAGTTGCATTCAAATGATAAAGCCGCCAACATTTACCCACACTTTTTCATGGTACCGCAAGTGAAGTGCGTAATCGACAGTGTTGTCCTGTAACTTTTCTGTCCAGTGCTAGTAGGGAACTGCACTCCCAGCGCCTAGCTCGTGGCGTGAAGTCCGTAGTCCCACAAGTGCCTCGGGGGGGGGGGGGGGGGGTCGACTGTTGTCTAGGAGCGGCGCCCTGGCCCCCTGCCTTGCCCTCGGTGCGGTGCGGCGGTGCGCACTTTGTTGTAAATATTGGTGGTTTTTGGACGGAGATCGGCGGTGTCCTGCTCCCAACGGTGCCTTGTTTGTTGTCTGAGCACTTTCCCGAGCTGCGACATTATCACAGTGCCTGAGAAGCAGCCTTACACGGAAGCCGGCGGCAGGTTACACGCGGGCCGGGCCGTTGTGTGCCGGGCCGGCCCCGCGAGGTTGTCTCCCAGTAGGAGACAGACGGACTCAGATTCCGATCTCATGTATCGATATTGACGAACGCCGGGCCCGCGGATGTTTTGAGCGCGGTTTCGGTATCGCGGAGACGCTGTGCGTGCTGCAGGGGTCAGTTTTGTGCGAGACAGACTGACGGAACGTGCCATTCCCAGTGTGACATTCCAGCCTGAAATGGGCGCCGCCGAGAGTCGAGACGGCCGACAGGCTCAGCCATGAGCGCTTTCTTTGTCGCAGGAATTCTGCATTGGGACCTCAGTCTGACCGGTTGATAACTTAACACATGGTAGTTGGTAGTTACATATGTATCAAGTTTTCAGTTTGCCACGTATTGACCATAATTTTGACATAATAGTGTTGTTCTTTAGTACTGCTAAAAGTGCCTGCATATTGGCAAAACGCAGGTCATAGCAACTTAGCCGTAGCCAGATCGGCCTGCACAATTAGTGTATTCCGTAGGTTGTTTTGCAGTTGATCTCGAGTGTTATTTGTTGACGCTACAGACTAGTCATCATCTGTTGGACAGCGGTGCCAGTGGTTAATTATAACGTAGCTTGGATAAAGCGCACAGCCCATGCGCAATTGATAACTTTGATCATGTCCTAGCCTAGATTGTTCGAGGGCTGGTCTTTGTGCCTGGCCGAGTTACGTGGCGTAAGAGCTGACGGCTTCACGTGAAAAAGCATAACGTTAGAAAAGAACTAGTCAATTCCTGTTAACAATTGATATCCTAGTTGGCTAATGTAAGGTAGGTATTGGATTAAAATGACTTCAGAACTACGCGAAACATTTATCGTTTTTTAGCTGGGTCTACTCCAAAATGGGTCGCCCAGTATCATTTGAGTAAAAGTGCTTGTTTGGCAGAGGACAAGTAGGATACAATTTACATTCCAATTGCACATTGATGGAGCTTACGACAAAGCAGGCCGGAGGTATTATGACAAAGGTCACGCGAAAACAGGGTGGTATAACCTTACAGCTGGCCCCCAACTTCTTCCTCAAAGCCGACCGCACTTACAGTAACGCGCCATTTGTACCGAAGGGCCACACGGATACGGGTTTAGTTTCAGTGCGCGGCCCACTGTTTTCCGACGGCCGCTGCGTTTCTCTGCGCCACGCTGGTCGTGAGCGCTGCTCGTGCGCAGCTGTCTGGTGCAGTCGGCTGTCTGACGGCCGCTGGTCGGCGTCGGCAGCGCGCACCGCGCCGATACGGGACCGTATAGAGAGCCGCCGCGGCCGGCTGGGTAGCCGCCGGGGTAGGGATAGAGGCGCGCAGGTAGCCGCCCCTCGCGCCGTCGTCTGGTAGGCTGGTCGAGCGCTCGCGCAATAACAGAGGAGCGGGGGACGGGAGCGCGCCGAGCCGCCCCCGCCTGCAGATACTTACTGCGTGACCCAACTGTGTTATTGGTGTGTTGTTTGTTGAACTGAATACATATCCTTCCTGAAGTGTCTGTTTTAAGCCAGAGTCGATATCCCGTCACCCATGGTTAGTGCGAAGCGCCGTCTGAGCTACCCAAAAGCAAGGAAACATGCAGGTTCAACAGAATCCTATATTAACCAACATCATCAATTTAACACAACTACTGTCTATGAAGCATTAGTCCATGCACCGCAACCGTCCTAAAATGTGTTAGTTAACACTAAGCTACCACACCGAGTGTTAGATAGCGTCCAACGCACAGGTGTTAGATGCAGAGGGTCGCAGTCGCTTGCTCGCCCGTCTGCGGCTTACTTGTCCTTGGTCTGCATGAACTTGATGAGGTCCACCACACGGTTGGAGTAGCCCCACTCGTTGTCGTACCTGCCGGCGAACGAGCATCAATCAAAGGCTCGCGAATTGTTCAATAATAAACCACCCCAATTGCAAGCACTCCTGCCTCATCAGGATTAATGCTTTTAACAAAATCACTGGACATCGCTACGCCTACAGACATCCCTCACACGTCCCAAACCTAGCTCCGGCCGGTCTGATCCGACTACTTCATCGACTCACCAAGAGATGAGCTTCACGAACGTGCCGCTCAGCTGGATGCAGGCCTTGGCGTCAAAGATGCTCGAGTGGGAGTCGCCGAGGAAGTCCTGGGACACCACCTCGTCCTCGGTGTATCCCAGGATGCCCTTGAGCGGCCCCTCTGCGGCCGCGCGGATCTTGGCCTTGATGTCGTCCATAGTGGCCTCCTGGCCGAGCCGGCACGTCAGGTCCACCACCGAGACATCCGGCGTGGGCACGCGGAACGCCATGCCGGTCAGCTTGCCGTTCAGGTCGGGGATCACCTTGCCGACGGCCTTGGCGGCGCCGGTGGCCGCCGGGATGATATTCTGGCCAGCGCCGCGGCCGTCACGCCAGCTCTGCCGACGGAACGGGCAACACAGTGAGACGGGGTGGAGAGAAACCAGTCCAGACCTCTGCACACACCGTCATCAGCAGTGAAGGATTCAGCTGAAATTTTGTGAAAGCATATCATGCAAAGAACACAGCAATATCAACGGGGATGCCTCTTTACGCACACATCACGCCACAAAAAAAGCAGACTGCGTCCCACCTTTCCGCTGGGCCCGTCCACCGTCTTCTGGGTGGCCGTGGTCGAGTGCACGGTGGTCATCAGGCCCTCCACGATGGTGAAGTTGTCGTGGATCACCTTGGCCAGCGGCGCCAGGCAGTTGGTCGTGCACGAGGCGTTCGATACCACCTTCATGTCGGGCTTGTAGGCGTCCAGGTTGACGCCGACGACGAACATGGGCGCGTCGGCCGAGGGCGCCGAGATGACCACCTTTTTGGCGCCGCCCTCCAGGTGCGCGCTGGCCTTCTCGACGGTGGTGAACACGCCGGTGGACTCGACCACGTACTCGGCGCCCGCCTTCGACCACGGAATCTCGGTCGGCTTCATCTCGTTGAACACGGCGATGCGCATTCCTGTCGGGATTGGACGAGTCACGTGCCTGCTGCGATTGCAGAATCACAGCGGGTACTATCGATACATATTGCACAACTCTCCCCACAGAAATGCCGCCGATTTCAACGCAATGCTCAAGTTTATCATACACGACTCCTTTGGGAACAGAAGTTCACATGACGGAAACAGTGCGCGGACGCTTACCGTTCACGACAAGGTACTCGCCGTCGATCTTGACCTCTCCCTTGAAGCGGCTGTGGGTGGAGTCGTACTTGAACATGTAGATCATGTAGTCCAGAGTGATGAACGGATCGTTGATGGCAACGACCTGCAGCATACAATACAGAACGGATCGTTGATGGCAACGACCTGTAGCATACAATACAACGCGTCAGACAATCGACACCAACTGTCAACTTCAAGAAGTCACACGAGGAAGGCATTCCTCCCTCGGAAGTTCAAGTTCTTACATAACTGACCTTCTGAATAATTCCACGGGACAGTGCGGACGCCCGAGTTCATCTCGGGGGATTCTGTGAGCGAAAAGGATTTACCTCCCTGGAGCATGCAGTGCATATCTTATGGACAGCACAGATCAAACTTTGCAAACCCTCGGCGACTGGTAAACGTAACGAATTCATGACGAGCTCTCTCAGCAGAAGCCACTTGTGATGGAGCCAGGACCACAGCCCGATATGCTAGCTTAGTAGCATGGACTTTGGTCACTCATTCCACCGTCGTATTTTACCGCGTGTTCTGCTGCACTGTACCCGGACCGTCTCGGCGAACACCCATCGTTCCGCGCCACCACACCTGCACCGCGCCGCTCAGACCACGCTCGAACAATACTGACCCCAGCCGCTCGGGCGTCCGCCGGGCCCGGCCGGTCAAGGTCGTGCAAGGTCACGGCTACGTCAGGGCGCAGGGCCCGGGACACAACACTGCGCACACAGTTGCATTTCTCGACTTTCCGAGGACAGCGAAATCTTGTGAACATCACATGCTTGTACGGTGGCCAATACAGGCACGCAACTTTGCAATCGTAGGTATTGTTGCGATTGTAAGAATAACTGATAAAAAATACACAACATGCAGGTTGCTGCGCTTCGCTGTTAATCGTCCAAGTGTTTTACCTGCTTTATCTCGTAGAAATCCGGAATTTGAGGAGTTACCATGAATTTTCCCTTTCATAATATGAAAACCTAATTACCTACAAATTAGCTGTAAAATATCAAACAAAGGCTAGACGTTTTGATTTGTTGGCTTTCGCTTTTTTTTCTCGCATTCATCTGCCTTATACTGATGCCTAAGAGGAGCTTAGCTTGATAGTTTGACAGCAACACTGCGAATTGCGATTCACATAAGAGGTGTGAATAATTTGGAAATTTATGATAGAAAAGCAATGCGTCACTAAGTTGCTCTTCGGCATTGATTCTTGTGCAAACGAATTCCTGAAACATTGATTTTTCATATTTATTATGAGTACTGGGAAACCTAGAAAAGGCTAAATAAATAGATGGCAAGTAGTTAAATAAAATTAGTGTTGGCTCTCCCAAAAGAACCTTTCATTGATAAACAGAAAAGTCCTGCGAGGCATGCAACAAATAAATACAAACCACTCATCATATTGATTTGGTGATATGACAATTAAAAAATGCACATCGCAGTCCGTCTTCTTTGTGTAATCATTCAGCAGATCACGGCGCAGCACTGCACATCCATGTGGGTTTATGGTGAGCGGGCACGTGGCCTGTCCAAACGAGGCCCCGCTCCTGGCCAGTGCGTTCCACTGACGTCGACTGGCAGTGACCGCCAACGCCTACTCTAACTAACGACCCGGCCTTGTGCAGCCGGCGGCGGCCCCTGTCCCGACCAGCCTCAACTGCGCCGCGGATGATTCGCTACGCCACAGCTCTGGCCTGGCTGCGCACGAGGCTCACCGGTCCACGGGGCTGACGTGTGACTGTACTTAGAGGGGGCCGGGACGGCGCCGTGTCCGACTGGGACAGCGGGCCGGGCGGAGCGGGGGCCGGTGAGGGTTGGAGGGGGAGGCGCTCCCTCAGCGATCCCCAGGGAGCCCTGCTGCCGTACTGAGGCCGACGCCGCCCGCAGTCACTGCTGGCCTCTGTCCGGGTCCCCAGGTTCGCGCTCCAAGTGTGCCTGACCGTTGGGTGTGCCGTGCTGTCAGCCGGGTCGCGTGCCGACTGCCGCTCATATACAAACCGGTGTTTTGCTTACACAGCTGGCGTCGTTTGGAGTTTTGATGGTGTGTAGGACTGCTTGTACTGGTTCTGGGCCATTTTCTCGACGGTTTCACGACGGTTCCGCGTGATCACAACGCATGCCGCATTAAATACCTCACGCTTATAGCTAAAGTTTTGTGCGACGGCGAATAATTAGCCAGACACAACTGAAGCCAGAAAGTCAGGCTCATATTGCAAACGTTTCAACCAATATATAGTGTGCCTGTAAAAATTAGGAACTTAGTGCAGAAAATCGCGGATTATATTTTGTATCATAAGAACCCATGCCTTATGTTATCAAGACCCCAGTCTCCATGGCAATAAATGTAAATGCTTCTAAATTTTCATCGCAAATATAACCCATTGATAAGTTTTTTCTTCACGGACGCGCGTAGGTATTCTGGAGAATGTATTATGATTCCTAATGAAGTGCTTCGAAGTGGCTGAAAATTGCTGCGCTAAGAAGTTTATTGCTTTTCCTTTCACTGGACTTCGCCTTTGACCTGAGGTACGCATTAAATCCAACAGTTCTATTTTATTAACAGTAATTGGCACCGAGAACACTTCGTCTTAAAAAATTCAGGTATCAATTGGATTGGATATCAGATTCTGAACGGACAGTTGATGGGATAGCCCGTCCCAAGATAGCCCCACTTACCTGAGCACCCTTTTCGACAGCCACCCTCAGCACCAGGCGGCCGATACGCCCAAAGCCGTTGATTCCGATCTTAGACATGGTGAACGGTTCTGAGCCCTGGAAATAGAAGACACGGACCAGGTTACCTAACGAAACGCAGGCTACTTGGTACGGAAGCCGCCTCGCAGGCATACGAGTACGAGCTATCTGCTTAGTGCTCACCTTGGGCGCAACAATATGAGCTCTTAAACAATCGGAATGTTTTCCAGATGACATTTTCAACGATCGGTCATTTCTATTGATAACACAACAGATAAATAAATAAAATCCACGGCACACCGTTACAGCAGATATGCAGTATGCGCATTACCCATTCTCAATCAAGCAGCGGCAGCCAAAGCCCAAAGCCAGTCTGCATTGAAGTAGGAACGTGCTCCGATGGATCCGACAGCCACGTGCCGGTAAAAAGGTCATTTACGATCACTGATCTAACCAGGATGCATCTATCAGTTCTGACGGCGGACGCAATGATGGCATTAGTCGGCATCCGGAGCGGGGGCGCCCGGCTGGCTGGTCGCTCCAGACAAAGCATACCGGCACACTCTGACAAGGTCAGATCATCTCCTCAACATGCCGCGCTTCCGAAAATGTGCGTTTTTTCCTAATACATGACGCTGATTCGATGGCCGATGGTTTTAGGAAACGATTTTTTAATAACCGTAGTATGTGCTGAGTTTGACCTACGTCCTCATCCTACAGTGGTATCACATGCTGCATAAAACTGCATGCATATCCGTCGCGCGATGCATGATACCACAATTCATTTATGGTAGTACCTATTACAAATCACGACGATATGCCGATGCTGAAAGGTTACTGGTGCTAATGCGCGGGTGTTCACTGCATGAAAATAAACACTAGGTCCGTCAGAATACCAGACTCTGGAAATTATACTGAAGTCACAAGTTGTCTCTGCAGGATGTCAAGAATTTAATGCGTCGTGGAGAAAACGCGGGCTGGTGCAATTGTCTGACTCCAATGTCAGCCAGCCGGACCACTTTATAGTCATTTGATCTTATGGACCGTCCACAGTCATCACGACACTGCATTTATGTAAGCGGTGAGAATGTTTCAAAGCCCCGCCGTCACACTATTGAGTAAATAAACTGCGGTCTGGCCGTGGGCTGGCCGGACGAGCCGCAGCGCGCCGTTCTGTGCTCTGAGCCGCGTGCCAAGCCGACCCGGCGCCGGGACGGAGGCGGGGCAGTGGCGACGCAACCGGCATCACGCGCCGACCGCAGCCGCCGCGGCCGCTTGCCACACGGCCGGCGGCCGCCCAGCCGACGCGACGCAGCGCCGCCGTCCAAACAAGACGGACTCGGTGGCAGTGGGCCGTTTGGCCAGCGGTCGGCCGGTCCGACCAGGCGCCGGTGACCAGCGGACGTGTCATGTGGTGGCCGACGGCGGCGGCGGCGCTCGTGCTGGCCTGTGCCGCCACCTGCCACCTGGAGGGCGACGAGCAGCCGCCGGTCACGCACTGCGAGCCGCGCCCGGCCGGGCCCGTCTCCAGTCACCTGGTGGTCGAGGAGGGCCAGCTGGCCACCATGAGCTGCGGCATGGACTCGCGCCGCAGCAGCACCGCCTGGGTGCGAGTGGACCTGCCGCGGCCGCGCCAGATCGCCATGACCGTCAACTCGTTTGTGCACGTGAGCGAGGCGCACTACCACCTGATGAACGCCACCCGACCGTCCCCGCACTGGGTGCTGGCCATACCGCGCACCCGCGTCACCGACTCGGGCCTGTACCAGTGCAGTGCCATCTACGAGACGCCTGAGGCTCCCGAGCACCCGAACCGGCAGCTGGTGCGGCTGACGGTGCTCTCTCCACAGCGGGTGGTCATCAGCGGACCGCGGCGGCGGCACGCGCACGGCGGCCGGCCGCTGCAACTCAGCTGCGTGGCCAACACCACCGACCGGCCGCCGACGTGGACCCGAGACGGTGAGCCCGTGTCGGAGGCCGCCGACGGCCGCGCGAGCGTCGACAGCGGCCCGCTCTGCAGCCTGCTGACGGTACGCAACGCGACCGCCGCCGACTCTGGCAACTACAGCTGCCAGCTGGCCGGCCTGCGCAGTGACACTGTTTACGTGGACGTGCTCAACGCCACCACAGTCACAGAGGACGAAAGACAACCGAAAAACTCAGTGGCCGCACTGAGAAACTGTGCGTATCAAGTGATATTATATATCAGTATTGCAAGTGTCGTGTGTTTGATGCGTATTTATTATGTTTGAAGTAAACCGAGCGATTCCTCACTGTGGTAAGCCGACACATTATGCTCATCAGTTTTGCTGCATAACATATCATACTCAGAATTAGACAGAGCTATGCGTAACTACCTTCGTCGCTGTTGAATTGATTGTTTACCAATTATGCCTGGGTCAGCTATTCAATATGAAAATGCATGACATTCCCAATACAACACTTTGTTTATTATGTTAAGTTTAATGCAAGCTTAACTAAACCGCATCGTCTGAAATTTCGCCTGCACGCTACAATTTACACCTATATTGACATCATAACGCCGGAGCTGGCAGATACCCTGAGAATTCGAACATATCGAACGATAGTTTAATTGAAATGATTATATCGTTCGAGTTAAACGTCCACACAAAAGTACTACCGATGTCTAATTGTGACATTTAATAGAGCATATTGCCATACTTTGAAACCAAGATAGGAAACAATCCGCTCAGATTAACGGTCATCAGTCATGCATAATAAAACTTAAGAGTGACTTTGATTAACCCTCGACGGCCCGGGGGGGGGGTTCGCCCCCCCCCCTGGCGAATATTTGCGATAGCTCCCGAACGCTTAGGGATAGGAAAGTGAAACTTTCAGTACCTTTTCTCGCATCAATTTGACATCTTCTGAAGTAAAAAATTTGGACCTAGCCCCATTGATGACGTCACAAGGTCCATTTTTCTAGACCCCTGCACGGCAAATTTCGGCGTCACAGACGCAAACTTCAAATAGCTGCTAAAAATAGAGTTTTAGAGATAAAGACAAATTACGAACACGGTTGTGTAGCGTTTGACCTAGAGAAAAAAAGAAAAACAGTTTTGGTGTCCTGAGGTCAGAGGTCAGGTCAACGACCACGAAATGTGATTTTAGTTTTTCGCAAATAACTTCGACAAAAAAGGTCCTAGAGCTACGGCAATGGTACCATCGCATTTGCCTTGTCAAGCCGCGTCGAATGATATATATTTTGTTCGGAAAAGGTCAAGTTATACATATGTTGACCTCATGTGACCTCGAATGACCTCTGGTTGACCTTGACACATGGGAGGTCATTTATAATGGAGTTGTACCCGCTGATCACGAATCTGGCATCTATTTTCCTCTAAGCCTTCATTTAGAGCTTCTGGACGGCAAAATTGTCTTATTTATTATTACTAACTTGAATCAGTGAAATAGCCTCTAGCAGGGATACTCTTCTGTGACCTTGACTTTGAGCAGCCTTGTATGGTAAGATGAACCACAAATAGGGAACTGATTAGCCTCAAAACATTTCAAAACATCTTGGAAGCTAGCACGCAAGATGTGCGAAAAAGTGCCAAGTTTGAGGTCAATTTTGAGCGTGACCTTGACCTTGACCTTTAATTTGAAGCACATTTTCGGAATCCTCAGATTCTCTTCTTTCGTTTGACACCCAGTTTTGCCGGTTTGATGCAGCCTGCCGTCCTCTAGAAGGCTTACTTTGAGATCACTACACATGTGCCGGTTTTTGCCTTTGACCTTGACCTCTGACCTTGAAAATTGACCTGAGGTCAAAAATTTTAGGTGCTATAGAATCGCCTCGTAAGGACCTTTCGTTTGGTATCGCTTTTGTTTCCGTAGCTCCCTTATTTACGGAGTTGGACAGTTGGGGGGGGGGGGCGAAAAACGCCCCCCCCCCCGGGCTGCGGTGGTTGGGATTACCCCCCGGGCCCGGCCGGGTTAATAGACACTGAGGCTGCTAGTAGACCTAGACGGTGCTGTAGGTAAAACACAAGATTGGGACCACAATGGATAATGAGGTTAGTACATACCCACCAACGTCCAACACATCAGTCGTAATGCATGTGTTCTGTGGTAGATAATTGGTATATCTATTAATATTACGTTTTTCATTATCATAATAAGTTATTTTGACTCAAATATGCGGGGGATTGGCATTTTACGACTTGAGAACAAACAACGCATGTTGAATATCTGTAGAACACCCCGCAACACGATTTATTGTTTAGGTGATGCGCAACGTCGCATCAGTCCTGGCACATTTATGTATGTCTAATAATAAAACAAATTCACTATCTACCAGTAAAACGCCTTTTGGGCGAAGAACGAGCGAGCGAGATAGTGAGCCCTGTACGTGCAGAAGGGCGAGAGGGTACTTCCAATGGGCTTGTGCAAAGCACCCTTCTAACCGGTCGCTAGCGGTGTACCAAATTTGAACGCAATCGGCCCAGCCGTTCCTGAGAACTGGAAGCGGCATTCTGCACGTGCGCACGTGCAAACGGGGTCCAAAATGACTTTTGCACGACACCCTACTAACCGGTCCCCAACCGTGTACCAAATTTGAGCGCAATCGGCCCAGCCGTTCTCGAGATCTGGAAACGCCCCCTGCACGTGCGCACGTGCAGTAGCACCCTAACCGCAACACATGGGAATGCATTGCCTGGTGGGTGCCTACCTGTATGCCAAGTTTCAGCGAAATCGCCCCAGTAATTACCGAGTTACTGAAATGGGAACAAATTTAGCACCTCTTATTATTGTATTTTGCACGTGCAGTGGGGGTCACTCACATAGATCAAGAATATCCGACCTTTGGTAGAAGGGATGCAGCTACCCTATAAAAATGACCGCAAGACAATCGCTCAAGCCGCTGCTGAGATATGGGCCTCTCAAAATCATTACTTTTGCAAAACTGCTTGAACACCCTTGACTTTTCACGTGGCACGTGCCACGGCGGTCACTGAGATGTATCAAAAGTAGTCAATTACGGGGTAGAAGGGATGGGGCTACCCAGCAAAAAAGACCGCAGGCCAATCGGTCCAGCGGTTGCTGAGATATGAGCCTCTCAAAAGCGTTACAGGCCGGGCCGGGCCGGGCCGGGCCGGGCCGGGCTGGGCCGGGCCGGGCCGGGCCGCTCATACTGAGATTTTTCCGTTATATTGAAAAGACTCACTTCGCTCGCTGCGCTCGCTCGCTCGTAATAACTAATTTGAGCATGGACGTACTCACCGGAGTTAATGAAAAGACAGATGTCGATCGTGCTTAGACGATTGAACGATGCTTGAAGATTAGTTTCACACTATTGTGTATCGCACTGCTAACAAAAGAACGATATAACTGTAATTGAATAGTTATTGGAATATTTATTATTAAGATTATGTAACTTACTTCACAATAGACGCTATTTTTTACTTTTCACTTTGCACTTTTCAGACGTCACCGCTAATTCAAGTCTTATTTTTTAACGAAAATAATCAGCGTCGCTCGTGATTGTTTGGTCTCATGCACTCCCACACAAGAACCATCTGTTCAATCTATTTTTTTATATCTCTTCATTTGCTCTTCATTGCTTTAACCCTCGCCGGACCTATTGGTTTTCTACATACGCGCCGGCCGAGGGGGGGGGGGGGCGGGTACGACCCCCCTCGCCGTTTCGCCCCTGGTGGAGCTAGCGCGTCGCGGAAAAAAACGAGCGTGTGTGCCGTTACGAGACGCAGAGATTGGTACCCGATTTTAAGGTCCTAGGTCAACCGGTGACCTCTGAGGTCAGGTCAAGTGCCCCAAGGTACGGTTCAGTTTTTGGTGAATAACTTCGCAAAAAAACGGCCGCAGAGCCGCGATTTTGGCAGCATCGTGTTCGCCTCGCTCAGGCGCGTCGAATGATATACTTTTTGTCCGGGTCAGGTCAGCTTGGGGTGTTGACCTGAGGTCAAGGTCAGGTCTGCACCCCCAGGTCACGAAGTTGGTCGAAAGAGGTCATGTCGCATATCATTCGATTCGGCAGGTCTTCCTGAGTCCATTGGTGGCTTTCCCGACTCGCTAGCTCAATTTGATCAGGAGTTATTGACGAAAAACTAATGTGACCTTGATGACGTCATAAATGACGTCACGCAAGGTCAACATTGCAAAAGTGGCGCATCTGACCTTGCAAGGAGTGCATAAAATCACGATTCTGTGTGCTTGAGATAGTTGGAGATCGTTCCCGGCGCCAGAATAGCAGTTTTCATTTTTCCCCATTGACTTATAATGGTGAGGTCACGAAAATGACCTGACCTCATATGACCTTTAGGAAAAATCCGAGATATACAAGTTGTGAAACTCATAATGGATATTAGATCCTGCAAGTTTCATTTCCCTGTGGCATCTCCTCTGGCAGTGAGGGCGTTACGAAGTTGCGACATCTGGAGACCGTGCAGAGGTTCACTTATGACGTCATAGGTCAGTGACCTGACCTGACCCAAAAACGCGGTTGGTGTCAAAACATGCGGCTTGGATCAAAGGTCAGGTATGCCAAGTTTCAGCTCTCTATCGCCAGCGTGTTCGGAGCTATCGCGAAAAAAACCTATGGGGGGCCGGCACCCGCCCCCCCCCCCCTCGGCCGGCGAGGGTTAAGGCCACACCTCGAATATGCTATATGAATCAGTGGATTATTCTTATTGTCCAATTTTGGCCACATGACTCACCGTTTCAGCTGTAGTTGGTTGAAACTTGAAAATTAATATTTACCGAACATTGACAGATTTTGGCTTTGCTAGAGTCCGTGACCCGTCAATCCTTGCGTCAAACCACCTCTCGAGCATACTGGAACAAGCATGTTTTAAACATGTTGTTCACAAGGCAGTTGACAAAAGGCATAAAAGAGGCTAGACTACACAGAAAGTGGTTGAAAGTGTTGGCTTATCAACTCGAATCGCTCGTTTACAACTCAAGTTTCTTGAGCACCTATTCATCGGCTTCAAGTTTTAGGGCAGTGGGCGGGCATCTTGCAATAAACCGACAAAGAATCATTCAAGATATGATGCACATTTTGTACTGGAGCACACAATATAACTTTGTCACTTCACGTTCACGGTTCAGTCATGACATGACAATGAGGAATAGCTGTGAAGGTGCATAATTAAAATTGTGAACACCGTATGCGGTCTTCGGTGTAATTCATCCGTGCTCCGGACGGCTATTATTCGTAGAAAACTGACAAAAGCGTCGCAGTTCGAGTTCGTATAGTGATAGCTGAGTGAGTGGGTGGGCGTCGGGCACTAATTCATCGTGCAGGCAGTGGTAAATCATCTGCTCAACGTTACTTTAGGCTCAATTCAGCATAAGGGCACACACTGACACAAGCCAAGTTCAACTAATAATAAACTTGAAACTAACGACTCGAAATATACAAGCATATGCTGTAAACAGTAAACTTACACAGACTGGAAGGAAGGAGCACAGATTCATTTACTTCACAAAGACCAAAGTCTAAAATATCTTCATTGAAGATAACTTTAATAAACCACGTCTCTTTTCAATATTTGTTTATGACTCTTAATGGCTGAATCGAGCCTCAAAATTAATTTAAAACAAATATTTACCATAAACTACTTCAATGACCTTCACAAGGTCAAACTGTGCGGCTTTCAAGCAGAAGTATCATCAAGTCTTATTTTATTACATACATTTTCGATTCACACTGAAGATTGTTTTCCGAAATCTTTCTGAAGGATGTTTGTTTTTACATAATTACATTTTTCGTTTGCTATTTGCTCAGATAAAATTATGTAAATTCATTTGGATAAAAAATAAAAATTAGGCAATGTTTACAAGACGTAACCATAGCAACCTGAGTCAGACACTAATTTGCAGACATTTTTAGTGTTTGCTATACTCGATTTCCTTGGCCAGATTTTACCTGTAAATTTATCGCTTTGGCCTGTAATATAACCGGCAGGGCCTTGATATAGGTAACTTTGGTTTTGCCGGGTTTTGCCAAAGACCCTAAAATTACGGGTTTGACATGCTTATAGAGCATTGGGGCTTGCCTTGCTTAGTATTTAAGTTTACCGATTTTATATTCCTATATCATATATGCCATGACTTTGCATTCGCTTGGGAATTGCGGATAAGATCGACACGATTGCGAACAATCGCTTGAGTGCCACGTTTGCGAACTCTTACCCATATACACAAACTACAGCCATGGCTGATTAGTATTTTTTTTTTTTTAATTCAGTGCATGTCGACCAACATATCAGTGCTGACGCAATTGGATAGCTAAGATGCTGCGGATGGTCGCAGATGACATTTTCGCCACGGTTAGAAATGCATCAGTCCGTGTCGGTGTCGCATCAGTAGGTACGAGGCGTAGTTCGCAAATCGCAATCCTCTACGGTTCAACCGATTTTTATCTATTCAAACGCAAAAGCACGACTTGAAAAATCCATGTCATTGTGTTGTGGACCAGGGCCTCGGCTAACATGTTAACTGGTGGGCCAAATGGCCCACCAGTGATCCGAAATGGCCCACCAGCCTCAAAGATTTGGCCCACCAGTAATTTTCCGAAAAATCGAAGTTTTCACATTTTTCACATTTCAAAGTGAAATAGCAGATCTTATCGTACGTTTTCAGGCTGTAAAGTAGGTACCCATCGGTGAAACATATTCTCGTGAAAAAAACTTCAACCTATTGTTTGCAATATCCTCTTGGGTGGACTATAGTACCCAGAACTTAAAAAAATCTACCACCTACGTCTTTGCTGTATGATATTTACTTCGAGTTCCATGTGACGTCACAGTACTTCCATGTCCGGTGGTGTCCGGTGTGCTCAACCGGACACCACCGGATATGGAACAGGTATTAACGGATGACAAACGGACGTCCAACGGAAACAAACGGACATCACCGGACGCTGACAGTACTCGTCCGTTTCTCGTCCGTTGGTCCAATGCGGTGAAGTGTGACCGAAGCTTTAAATTTTATCAGGGCCTCGGCTAACATGTTAACTGGTGGGCCAAATGGCCCACCAGTGATCCGAAATGGCCCACCAGCCTCAAAGATTTGGCCCACCAGTAATTTTCCGAAAAATCGAAGTTTTCACATTTTTCACATTTCAAAGTGAAATAGCAGATCTTATCGTACGTTTTCAGGCTGTAAAGTAGGTACCCATCGGTGAAACATATTCTCGTGAAAAAAAAAAACTTCAACCTATTGTTTGCAATATCCTCTTGGGTGGACTATAGTACCCAGAACTTAAAAAAAATCTACCACCTACGTCTTTGCTGTATGATATTTACTTCGAGTTCCATGTGACGTCACAGTACTTCCATGTCCGGTGGTGTCCGGTGTGCTCAACCGGACACCACCGGATATGGAACAGGTATTAACGGATGACAAACGGACGTCCAACGGAAACAAACGGACATCACCGGACGCTGACAGTACTCGTCCGTTTCTCGTCCGTTGGTCCAATGCGGTGAAGTGTGACCGAAGCTTTAAATTTTATGCAATAAACGTGAAAGACGTCTGCCTCTGTCAATTACAGATAGTGTCGGCGGCTTCCAGCCGATCGAGGTCTGCGAAAGTTCTTGCAAGCTTTCCGATCGATCGAGTGGTTGCAGTCACATAAGCATCTGCCGCAGACCAGTCGGTTACAAGAAAAACTACGAATAACGAACAGACCAGTTCAGACGGTCGGGTGCCTGCGAGCGATCTCAGACGGCTCGTCGATATACACGATATAAAGGCCGTGTTACACTGCCGAATTTTGGCCACGACCCTGTCGCCGAATCACGTCGTGTAGGAAATCGGCGAACAGTTCACCGACAGAGGCGAACAGTTCGCCGACAGAGCCCGATTTGCAGACAACGGGTGGGGGGCCCCCCTAATCGTGCGCGGGTCGAAGCTGATCCATGATTCGGCGAACATCGCGAATGAATGGCGAATCTGTTGCGAATAGTCGGCGATACCTTGGCAACAAGTCGACGCACGCAGCGACATGTCGGCGGTGAATCGGCGAGTGTTTGGCGATCATGTTCGTTTATTATAAGTTCGGCGAACGGCCACGAAATTTTCATTCTTCATGAAATATTCGTGGCGGTCGTGACGAACCGTAAAAGTCGCGCGGTGGGCACCGACTGGTCTGCGAAATGCCAAGACCGTGGAAGAAAGATCCCGAATCGGTCCGCGACATAGCATGACTTCCATATTCTGTACCAAAATTCGGCAGTGTAACAAGGGCTTAAGCCAGAGTCAAACTAGAGTTAGTGTCGGCGACTTTCAGCCGATTGAAGTCTGCAAGCGATATTATGCGTCTTCACGACCGGTATGATGCTTGCAGTCACACATCTGACCAGTCGGACGAATTTCGAACCGTTCACAGTCAGCGTTCCAAAAATTTCTCATTTCGGCTGAAGATGACACTCAAGAATAAGAATGGATAATTTTCCACTCTCACATTTTGGGTGGCTAGAATTTTACACTCAGACACCAAAGAGAAATCTGAAGTTTGGGACACTGTTCACCAAAAGCGTACATAACTTAGTTTTTTAGAAAAATATTAGGGTTGCACAGTGCACTTGGGCTTTTGAGTCAATTCTTTTCCATGCGACACCAATAGGCTTAATGATCATTTTCAGAGATGTTGGGGCTGCTGCTACAGCCCCCTTTTGGGGTTCCTGCTACAACCCACTTTACTAAAGTTGCACTCGTGCTGTTCACAATTCCTCCCGATCCACCCGACAACGCCCGATCCCGTCCGACCGCTTCCGAATCTCCGACTATAGTTCGTTTTGGACGCCATTTAATTGCGTCCCAGAAAAGCTATTTCTGGCACCTAAAAGCTGACTCGCCCCAAAATTGGTCCTCAGCACCTATTTGGTGGATACCAGCACCAATCATGGAAAATGACCTTAATTAGCTGTTTCTGGCACCTATTCATCGGTACGCCTTACTCTTTTTTCTGAATCTGGCACCTAAATACTGAGCGTAGCACCAATCTAGTAGAAAAATGAACTACTGGCTGGTAGAATCATGTTGTTCTGGTATAATGACCCCTGGAGTCTAGCCTAAAGGTTGCCAGTGCAGCTACACTCTAAGACAGCCCCGTAGTGATCTCAGCATTGTATATGACGTTTAAGTAAGCAAATAATATTGATTTGTTTAAAAAAAAAACAATGTCATTTAAATATTTAAAAGTATTTATTTGTAATGCTTAAAGGGAAACATTTTTGTGAGTAATTGTCTCGATTTTGACCATTAAAACGGGTATTGTATTTTTTGACGTCATCAAATAGCTCCAAAAAAGAAATGTACTGTTTTCATTCCGTTCAAGGCCACTGAAGAAACGCGGGATCTTGCGTGGGACATTGTCCGTTGTGTTTGCCGCGCAGAGTTGTGCCGTGGTTGTGCCTTTTTCATCCGTTTCTTACTTATGTCATATGTGTGCATGAAGCTTTGATTTTGTTTTTGGTTATTGTGTGGCCGGTCAGTCAAACGCCCCTGTAGAAACCGGATGCTGCGTTTGATCGAGATGGAGTCAGACGATAATTGCAGGCCAGAAAGCTAATAATATTGAAAAGAGGGCCGGTTGCGTGGCATGTCTGTTCAGAGTCATTTTGCTTTACTCCAGTTTATGACCTGAGAGCCTGGCTGGAAGTGACGGATCCAAACTTTTCACGTTAAAATGGCTGAGGGTGCAATAATCTCTAGTCTCTACATAGCGGGCTGGTATAGGAGCGTCTTGCTATGCTGCACCATAGCTGGCCAGTGATTCTCTTTTGGCTAGAAATGGCATTAATCATTATCTCCACTGGCGAAAATGGCACTTGACATCACCGAATGCAACGTCCATGTTGTAAGGATACATGAAATCAGGAAGATTACGCGAATTAGGTAGGCAAACGTGGAATAAAATAGGTGCTGGATGTTTTGGTTTTGGTGCTGAATCAGCAAACAGCAAATACGGAGTTCAACTAGACGATCTGGCAACTTTGGGATGTGTGGAAGCAATTAGGTGCCAGATTCAGATATTAGGGTCGAATAAGCATTTTGGGGCTGATCAGCAATTAGGTGCCAGAAACAGCTTTTTAGGGACCAGAAACAAATATTTCCCGTTCGTTTTTTCTAAGTTCGACCCTCACTGTAAACATCTTTTTGAACATAGCACGAGAATTGCTAGCTGAATTACTAAGAAAACTGGTTAGCGCACATTGTACTGCAGACATGAATAATATTTTCCAAATAAGTTTTAAAAGCCGAAGATATACCGTTCTGTTAAATGCCGTACGATCTATTGATCAGTTCAGTTATAATTTCTGACAAGATGTCTATCTCTGTGGGGTTGTATATAAAGGCGACTACGAGCTAGGAGTCTGGGAAATAAGAGCCAGGAAGAAATAATTTTGAGTAAAATAAATGCGCAACGCCTTCAGTAGACATGCGCAACGCCTTCAACACTGTGCGCCGCGATCACTTCCTGCGACAGGTGCGCATCCATGCGCCTGAATTGTTCCCGTTGCTGTGGCAGGCGTACTCAGTGTCGACTCCGCTGTATTATGGCACGTCCGTCATCTGGTCAGCAACCGGTCTGCAGCAGGGAGACCCGTCGGGACCGGCTGTGTTCTCTCTGGCGGTCCAGTCAGTTACCAGCAACGTCACCTCTCCTCTAAACGTCTGGTATTTAGACGACGGGACACTGGGAGGTGGCATTGACGGCGTTTGTGCCGACTTACAAGACC